GAAGGTTGGGCAATCCTACTTCTGTAGTGATACTATCTCGGAAACCCAAGGAGGGGTCGCTATGAGTCAGGGCCGACTCGACGACACATAACAACAACAACAACAACAATGGCTAAGGATTGTGACCATCTCTCCATGTATTTTTTGGGCACCTCAATGACTTTGGTGAAGTGTCTGTTCGTGTCCTTTGCACATTTTTAAATTAGATTGTTTGTCTTTTTGTTGCTGAGGTGTTGAAGTTTTCTATAAATTTTAAGTTTCCTATAAAATAGTCTACTCCTGGTTCTGACATGCTCTTCACATTCCCAGACCTGTCAGCCAGACTTGTTCTCCCTCATACTGTATGTATGTTTTCCTCCTTGGTATTCATGCCATACGCCTGCTTAGTGTGTTCTACCTTTTCCCTTTTGTTACTCAATCCTGTTTCTTCTTAATCCCTATGTTCTTCATGAGTATTTTTTTTAGCCTCTTCAATAAACAGCAATCTTTCCCTTCTCTGAACTATTATATTTAGTTGGCATTTAATTGTATTTTTCTTTATATGGTGTTTTTGTTCTCTAGTGCTGCTCTAACATGAATACCATAAGTGGGTGGATTTAACAAACAAGATTTATTCTCTTACAGTTTAGGAGGCTAGAAGTCTGAGTTCAATGTGCTAGCTCTAGGGGCTAGATGAAGATCCCTCAGCCTTGGGCTTCAGCGCTGCCTCTTGTTCCTGGTCCACTGGAGCTAGAGGTGTCTCTAAATTTAGGCAGCTGTTGGCTGCTGAGGCTGACAAACCCAGGTTCAACAAGTGAAATAGCACAGTCCTAAGGTTATTAAGGAACATGGCAGGCCACTAGTTCAAGTCCAAAAACTAGTTCAAGTCCAAGATTGGGCAACATGGCAGACTACTGAATGAAGACTTGGCTAGATGCAGAATCCAAGCAAGCCAAAAAGCTCAGAGACCCTTCTCAAACCTTCTGACACATTGGAAGCAGACCACATCCCTAAGGCAGCTACTCAGCTGCTCACAGCAGGTTCTACCATGGAGCTGATTACCAGTCTCATCATGGGGAATAACTACATCCAGCTGCACAGCCACTCAAAACTAGACCCAGTCAAATTGACACACAATCTTAACTACCACATATGAGGTTTAAGTCCAAGTTAAAAGTGCCAGGCTCTAGGGGCTGGGTGAAAGCCCCTCAACCTTGAGATCCAGTTTTGCCTCCTGCTCTCAGCCCACTGGAGCTACAGCCATTTCTTCACTCAGACAGCTGCTGGCTGCTGAGGCTGAGAAGCCCCAAGGTTGACAAGTAAAAAGGCACAGTCCCGATGTTACCAAGCCACACGGCAGGCCATTAATTTAAGTCCATTGTAAGTCTCAAGGTCGGCAGAGCATAGCAGGCTGCTGAGCAATGACACGGCTACATGCAAGGTCCAAGCATGCCATAGGCTAGAGACCACTCCCAAGGCTTCTCCTTAAATACAGGAAGCAGACCACATTACCAAGGCAGCTATTCAACTGCTTGTGGTAGATCCCACCATGGAGCTGATTGCCAGTCTCATCATGAGGAATAACTACCACCAGCTGCCCAGCCACTCAACCAGGCCCAGCCAAGTTGACACTCAAACCAAACTACTACAGGTATATTCCTAGTAATGGAACTGCTGGATCAAATGGTATTTCTATTTTCAGTTTTTTAAGGGAACATCCTACCATTTTCCACAATGATTGTACCATTTTGCAGTCCCATAAGCAGTATATAGATGTTCCAGTCTCTCCACAATCTTGCCAGCATTTGTTATTTTTTGTCTTGTTGAATTTTGCTGTTTTTTCTATGGTATTGTTTTGATTTGGATCCCTCTAATGAAGCCTTAGGAGCTCTGGTAGCATAGTGCCTAAGGCACTTGACTGCTAACCAGAAGGCTGGCGGTTCAAACCCACCAGCCACTCCTCGGAAGGAAGACTGGGCAATCTACTTCCGTAGTGATACTGCCTTGGCAACCCAAGGAGGGGTCGCTATGAGTCAGGGCTGACTCGATGGCACATAACAACAACAACAACAATGAAGCCTTGGGAATGGTCTCTAGCTTATGGCATTAGATCCCTCTAATGACTGTGAGCATTTCCTCATGTTCAAGTGTCTGTTCACGTCCTTTGCTCATTTTTGAATTAGGTTTTTTGTCTTTTTAGTGTTGAGGTGTTCAAGTGTTCTATAATTTTGAAGATAAGTCCCTTGTCATATGTCATAGCCAAATAATTTTTTCCAGTCTGTAGGTTCTCTTTTTACCCTTTTGGAGAAGTCTTTAGATGTACATAAGAATTTCATTTTTAAAAGGTCCCATTCATCTAGTTTCTCTTCTGCTGCCTGTGGATTATGGGTTATGCTTGATAATCTATTTATGCCATAAACTAGATTTGCCCCTATTTTATCTTTGATGAGCTTGATAGTTTTTGGTTTTACATTTAAGTCTTTGATCTAACTTGAGTTCATTTTTGTGTATGGGGTGAGGTATGGGTCTTGTTTCATTTTTCTGCAAGTGGACATCCAATTTTGCCAGCACTATTTGTTAAAGAGACATTTTCCATTTTTAGATCACAATCTCTTTTATATTCCTCCACAGCTCCTACTAAAGTACTGGGAATGAAGTAACTACATAAAAGTGTTTATTAAATGAAAAATGAAGAGGGCATGTCAAATACAAAGAGATAAACAAGTAATGTGACTTTAGAGCACGGTTTTGTTTTTTTTTTTTAGTTTGGTGGTGAATACTATTTGTGACTTTTGGCTTGTTGCCTAACTCTCTGTGGCTCACTTTCCACATTAGTAAATTGCAGGGCTTCACACCAATTCATTCCAGTTGGACCTTCTGCTGATAATTTGCATTTCTATCCTTGATATACTGAATCAGAATCTGTAGTTTAACAAGATGCCCAGATGATTCTTATATATACATACATGCATACGTACATACATGCATACATACATACATACAGAAGCGTTCAAAGCCATGGTAAATTAAGGATAATCCTATCAGTCCTACAGAGGTTTCGGGGTAATGGTGAAGACCAAATGAGATACCATACATGAAAGAACTTTATGAACTGTTACTGTAAGCTATTAGGATTTCTCATCTAACATTGATTATAAAATATTTTCCCTCTTATTTTTAGACTCGCAACCTTATTTCTCGAAAGAGGGCCCAACAGGGTAGGTGGTATTTACAAAAAGGCCATTTATAGACACTACACAGATGGGACTTATTCTACGGAGATCCCTAAACCTTCCTGGCTTGGATTCCTGGGCCCCATCTTGAGGGCTGAAGTGGGTGATGTGATTGTCATTCATTTAAAGAACTTTGCTTCCCGACCTTACTCTTTGCATCCACATGGTGTTTTCTACAACAAGGATTCAGAAGGTAAATATCGGACCTATATTGTTGGAGTCTTGTCTCTATTTCATAAGTAGGATGATTGTCAGTTACTATAAAAGGAATTCTAAGAGAACAGTGTTTGTAAAAGTTCACTTGTCTTCTGTCTCCTTGTCTTTCTATCACCCTCTGTTGCCCCATGCCTTCCTCTTCTTCTTTTTTCATACTATTTCCTTCTCTCCTTTGTTTCCACTTTTCACAAAGAATAGCACCGAAGACAGATCAGCTTACACTGAAGCAGGCTCACCCACAACTACGCCTGTCACTGATGACTGATGACAAAAAACAGACTGGTAGAACCCCTGGGACCACGGCCCTTAGACACTCATCAAACCTGGAACTAAGCACAACTCTCTGTGTCAGCCCAACAATAGGGCTATACAGTCAACAAAAACAGCCATGAGGAACTTGCTCCTCAGACAAATCAACCACATGAGACCAAAACGGCAGCCTCACACACACACACACACCAGAAGTTCAGAAGGCTGGAAGGGACAGGAAAGATGGAAAAATGAGAACAGGAAACCCAGGGAGGAAGTGAGAAAAGTACTGTTAACTTAGGGAGAGTGCAACTAATGTCACAAAACAAAATGTGAAAATTGTTGAATGGAAAACTAATTTTCTCTATAAACTTTGACCCAAGCCACAATAAAATGTTCAGAAAAAAAAAAGTTGCCGGTGCTTTGACTCTTACTCAGTTACTTACTCTTACTTACTCTTACTCAGCTCCATGTGTGAGAAACGCAAAATTAACCTCCCCAAAAAAGCAAATTTTATGTACCAAAAATTATAAAACATTGCTGAGAGTAATTAAAGGGGGGTTAAATTCCATGTTCATGGGTTGAAAGATTCCATATAGTCAAGATGGTAGCTCATGATTAATATGCAGATGGAAAATTTCCCCCAATTGATATTATCTTGATGCAATCCCTATCAAAATCCCAGTGGGATTTTTTTTTTTTTTTTAGAAATTGACAAACTGATTCTAAATTTATATAGAAATTCCAAGAACCTAGAATATCCAATTTTTTTTAATGAAGAACAAATTGAGAGGTCTTACATTTCTCAGTTTCAAAACTTATTATAAATCTACAATAATCAAGACAGTGTGGCATTGTTGTAATTTCAAGCATGTAGATCAGTGGAACAGAGTTGAGAGCCCTGAAATAAATCCTTACATTTATAATCATTGATTTTTTTATAAAGGTGACAAAATAATTCAATGGTGAAAAGATAATTTTTTCAATAACTTTATATCTTCCTGCAAAAATAATGAATTTAGATTGTTACCTCACATCATATAGAAAAATCAATTCACATGGATCATAGGTATAAATGTAAGAGTTAAAACTATAAATATTCCAGAAAATAATAAGAGAAAATCTTGATGATCTTGGGATAGGCAAAAAGGTTTTAGATATAAAATCAAAAGCACATAAAAGAAAAAATTAATACTTTGGGCTTCATCAAAATTAAAAACTTTTGCACTTCAAAAGAAAACAGAAAATCCACTGATCAAAAGAAAATATTTGCAAATCATATATCTGATAAAAAACCTTTATCTATTATTACACAAAGTACTCTTGTGATTCAATATTAAGAAGACAGCTAATTTAAAAGTGGGCAAAAGATTTGAATAGACATTTCAACAAAGAAAATGTAAAAATGATTAATACGGTTATGAAAAGATGTTCAACGTTATTAATCATCAGAGAAATGCAAATTAAAATCACAAAATATATCATAACACTCCCACTATGCACTCCTTGGAAGGAAGACTGGGCAATCTACTCAGTAGAGATATCACCTTGGAAACCCAAGGAAGGGTTGCTGTGAGTTGGGATTGACTCGATGGCAGTGAGTTAGGATGACTATAATCGAAAAGGATGGTTATAGCACTGCATTCTGACCAGGATGTAGAGAAACTGGTATCTGCTACATTGCTGGTGGAAATGTAAATGGTACAGCCACTGTGGAAAATTGTTTGGTAATTTCCAAAAAATTAAACAAAAACTTGCCATACAATTCAGCAATTCTATTCCTATATATCTACCCAAGATAAATGAAAACATATGTACACACAAGGACATGTATGTGAATATTCACTGCAGCATTACTCTTAATAGTTAAACAATGGAAACAATCCAAATGTCTGTCAACTGGTGAATGGATAAATAAATGTGGTATATCCATACAATGGAATACGTTTAGCAATAAGAGAGAACGAGCTACTGATACACGCTACAACATGGATGAACTTCAAAAATGTTATGCTAAGTAAAATAAGCCAGATGCAAAAGACCATTTAATGTATGAGTTCATTAAAATGAAATGTCCAGAAAAGAAACATTTATAGAGATAGAAAACAGATCAGTGGTTGTGTAGAATCAGGGGTTCAAGTGGGAGTTAACTGCCAACAGGCACCAGAGAACTTTTTGGGGAAGGTGATAGAAATGTTCTAAAACTGGATTGTGCAGTATAATCTCTATTGATTTACTGAAAACTTTTGAATTGTAAGTTCAAATAGGTGAATTCAATAGTACATAAATTATATTTTAGTAAAGCTGTTAAAAAAAAAAAAACTGATTAAAAGACCAAATCTTTATCCGTATATTGAAGAGACTTTGTCATACCTAGTTCACGGAAGCCCCTGGCACATTAAAAAGTTTGGGATTCAAATGTTTGTTATATCAGGAGTGTAGATGCAGTAGATAGATGTACACTTTCCTAAATATGTCAAGAGTATAGCACAAGAATAAATATGCCATTAAGCATGATGTTAGCTGTGGGTTTTTCATAGACACCATCTCTATCAGGTTGAGGAAGTTCTCTTCTATTTCCAATTTGTTAAGAGTTTTTACTTTAATCTCACTGCCATTGAGTTGATTCCAACTCATAGTGACCCCATTGGGTTTGCGAGGCTGTAAATCTTTACAGAAGTAGATTGCCCCATCTTCCTATTGCAGAGTGGCTGGTAGGTTTGAATTACCAGCCTTCTGGTGAGCAATCAAATGCCTTAGGCACTGCTCCTAACAGAACTCTTTCTTTACTTTAATAGGTCCTGGATTTTCTTAAATGCTTGTCTGCATCTACTGGTCCTTTATTCTATTAAGATGATATATTACATTAATTGATGTTTACATGTTAAGCCAATCTTGCAATCATGAGGTAGATCTCATTTAATTATGGAATATAATTATTAAAAAATATATTGTTATATTCAGTTTGCTAATATTTTGTCTATGTTCATAAAAAATATTGGTCTGTAGTTTTCTTGTAATGTCTTTATCTGGCTTTGGTGTCAAGGTAATACTTGCATTATAGGATGAATTAGAAAGTATTCTGTCCTCCATTTTCTGAAAAGATTTTCTAAAGGATTGGCATTATTTCTTCTTTTAATATTTAAAAGAATATGTAAATGAAACCATCAGTGTCTTGGTTATTCTTTAAGGGAGAATTCTAAATTACTAATTCCATTTCTTATTAAAGGTCTATTCTAATTTATGATCATTGTTTTAGCAATTTGTGTCTTTCTAGGAATTTCTCACCTTCGTCTAAGTTGTCTAACAATGTGGCATAAATTTGCCTATAATTTTTCCTTATGATTCTTTTCTTTCTTTTTTTTTTTAATTACATCAGCAGGGATGTCTCTTCTTTCAATCCTGATTTTGGTAATTTGTGCTCTCTGTCTTTCTTGGTCAGTATAAATAAAGGTTTCTCAATTTTATTGGTCTTCTCAAAGAGCCAATTTCTGGTTTCTTCTATTTTATGTCATTTTTCTGTTTTATATTTCATTGATTTCTGCTCTGATCTTCATCATTTTTTTAAGTTAAGTCTTCCATATCCTTGTTGATTTTCTGTCTAATTGTTCTGTCAATTATTGAGAATGGGGTATTGAACTTTCCAACTATCATTGTGGAATTGTTTCTCCTTTCAACTACCAGGTTTTGGTATATGTATTTTGTGGCTATTTATTTATTTTTTTTAGATATTAATACATTTATAATTGTTATGTGATCCTGATCACTGACACTTTTTTCATTGTAACATATCCATCATTGTCTGTTATTAATATAGTTCTCCAACTCTCTTACGGCTACTATTTGCATTCATTCATTTTCAACCTATTTGTCTTTTTATCTAAAATATAGATAGCATATTTTTGGATTTTGTTTTTTGATGCAATTTTATAATCTATGCACTTTGATTGGGATGTTTAGACCATTCATATTTAATGTAATTCTTTAATGCAATTATTTGTCATTTTGCTATTTGTTTCTTATATACAGGGATACTTCCAGACCACTGCAGTAAAGCAAATATTGCAATAAAGCGAGTCACATGCATTTTTTTTATTTCTCAGAGGATATAAAAGTTATGTTTACACTATACTGTCATCTATTAAGTGTGCAATAGCATTATGAAAAAGTTAGAAATATTGTGAGAATTACCAAAATGTGAGACAGAGTCACAAAGTGAGCACATGCTGTTGGAAAAATGGTGCTTGACACAGTGTTGCCACAGACCTTCAATTTGTAAAAAACACAGTATCTGCAAAGCACAGTAAAGCAAAGTGCATTAAAACGAGGTATGCCTGTACCTTCTGCCAGTTTTGTTCCTCTGGTCCTATTTTACTGTCTTTTGCATTAAAAACATTTTGTGAGTGTACTCTGTTGTTTTCTTCTTCTTCTTTTAAAATTTTTATTGTGATTTGGGTGGAAGTTTACAGAGCAAATTCATTTCCCATACACATTTTGTTTCATGACATTGACTGCAATTCCCCACAATGTAACATTTCTCTTCCCACTTCCTCCTTGTAATTACCTCTCCCCTGTATTCTTCCCTCCCACCCACCGCTGCCCCTGAGCTGTCTCCCTGTGCAAACACTGCCCTTCTTTTCGCCTAGAATCTGTTGTTGCTTTTTATTTTTTTAATCTATGTATTTGTGAGTTATTTTCTTATTAGTAGGTCTGTTGTTGTTGTTGTTA